ACGAAAAGGTATAATGTTTTAAGAAAGTTTACAAATTTATGTTGGGACACATTCAAAGTCATCCTGGGCCATACATCACAGCTTGGACAAGCTTGATCTAGGGAATTCTCTTTGTTTTCTACTTCGTTGGAGTTCCTGTTTACCAGATCCCATGTTCCTTTTCTTTTTTTTGAGACAGAGTCTCACTCTGTCGCCCAGACAATCTCAGCTCACTGCAGCCTCTGCCTCCCAGGTTCAAGCAATTCTCCTGGCTCAGCCTTCCAAGTAATTGGGATTACAGGCAAGTGCCACCATATCAGCTATCTTTTTTGCTGTTGTTGTTAGAGATGGGTTTCAACATATTGACCAGGCTGGTCTCAAATGTCTGGCCTCAAGTGAACCACCCTGCTTGGCCTCCCAAAGTGCTGGGATTACAGGTGTGAGCCACGGTGCCCAGCCACATGTTTTTCTGTTTCTTGATTTATACCTTTACTTGGGTGGAGTGCTCCTTCCAGCAGTTTCCTGAGTGAGAAGAGTATATGAAAAGTAAAAATTTTGAGAATTTCTTGATTTTGACATGTGTTCTGATTTTCTGCACAGCTTTTATTTCCTCCTAGTTCGTTTCTTTTTTTTTTTTTTCTCTCTTGAGATGGAGTTTTGCTCTTGTTGCCCAGGCTGGAGAGTAGTGGGGTGACCTTGGCTCACTGCAACCTCCACCTCTTGGGTTCAAGCGATTCTCCTACCTCAGCCTCCCGAGTAGCTGGGATTATAGGCATGTGCCACCACACCCAGCTAATTTTTTCATATTTTTAGTAGAGGTGGGGTTTCACCATGTTGGCCAGGCTGGTCTCAAACTCTTGACCTCTGGTGATCTACTGCCTCAGCCTCTCAAAGTGCTAGAATTACAGGTGTGAGCTACCACTCCCAGCCTCTGAAGTTTTTTTTTTTTTTTCCCTTGTTTGTTTACTGTAGGTTCTGTCTTTCATGTAAGGAGGTTTCTTCAAATACATGCAGATCCTCAACTATTCATCACATTTAAGAATGAGGTGATAGCTGGGTGTGGTGTCTCTTGCCTGTACTCCCAGCTACTTGGGAGGCTGAGACAGGAGGATCTTTTGAGGCCAGGAATTTGAGGCCCACCCAGGCAACACAGAAATACCCCATCTCTAAAAAACTTCATAAATTTTTATTATTTTTAGAGAGGGTCTCACTCTGTCACAAAGGCTGTAGTACAGTGGTGCAATCACAGTTCACTGCAGCCTCTAATCCCTGGCTCAAATGATCCTCCAGCCTCAGCCTCCCAAGTTAGGACTACAGGCATGTACCACCAGGCCCAGCTAATTTTTTATTTTTATTTTTGTAGAGATGGGATCTCACTATGTTGACCAGGCTTGTCTTGAACTCCTGGGCTCAAGTGATCCTATCTCAGCCTCCTCAAGTGTTGGGATTATAGGTGTTAGCCACTGTACTCAGCCAAGATTTTTTAAATAATATAAAAGAATGAGGCAATACAATGTTGATGAGAGCTTCTGTAGGTACGATCAGGGTTTGCTGACTGTTGGACTGACTGTAAGAGACAGGTAACAAGCCACACTCTTTACCATGGGATCCCCAAACCTCAATATTTGGAGACCTCTTCTCTTGGACCAGCTAGCTTTTCTCTAAGAAGAAGCTTCCAGTCTCTTGACAGAATCCCAGCATTCCAGGATCTGGATTTGTGAATGAAGCTGAGGGAAAGGGGTCTGCTTTATAATTTAATATACACAACTTCACTTAATTCTGCTTTTCTGTGTAGTGAGTCATACCTGTCCTCAGCTCTGTCTGGTGCCTAGGAGAACTCTGAGTCAACCTCTCCAGAGAGTAAAATATATCTTCTGCTGAATTTGGGCAGCATGGAATGGAGTAGGGAACATGGGGGAGGCAAGATCTCATTGCTCTTTAGAAAACGTTCACAGTGAATTCTCCTTTCCAGCCTTGCTCACCCTCTGCTTTCGGAGGGAAGGCAGCTCTAGTTTTAGAGCCTTTCCAGGGTGCTGTGACATGGGAATGTTCACTTCTGGATGGCTCTGCCTCCTCCCAAAAGCTTAAGTATTCACTTTGGTGGCTTTGGTAAGTCAGTGATCACTCATCCATCTGCTTTCTGCATTCCTAAGTTTTGTTGGCATTTAATTCAACAGGGATCTCTTTCCCTGTCTGCTTTTTCTTTATAGATTTATGTTTTTATCCCTTTACTGTCATTTTAATGAGGTCTTTGGAGTAAGTAGAGACAAATGTGTGTTCAATGCACTATGCTTAACCAGAAGTCCCCTTGCCACTGGGTCTTAACATGTACAGATGTAATAACTATAGCAAAGTGAATACCTAAGCTATAACAAATAGCAGTTTAGCCTACTCTAAATGTTATGCAAAATGTTATGGCTCCAACACAATACAAATATATGTTGCTCACATAATTGTGTGTCCAGGTCAGTGGGTAGCTCTCCTGCATCCAGGCACCTTCTTTCTCGTGGCTCTGCCAACCCCAGAGGCTTTCAGTCATCTGCATAATTGAAGCAGAGTCACCATGTCCAGGGTCCAGCTGGCAGAAAGGAAAATGCATGAAAGAGGCACAAGTACTCTCAAAGTAAAGGCCTTGGCCTGACAGTGGCAGACATAACATCTGCTCACTTTCTATAACTTAATACTTGACCATATGCACCTGAAAGAGAGGCTGAGAAAAGCAGTCTGTGTGTTCAGGGAGAAGGGAAGACTAAATTGTGATGGACAATTAGCAGTCTGTCGAAATAACCTTACTCCTCATTTTGCTGAGAAAATAGAAGCAACTGGAAGAGAACTACTTTCTCCCACTGTCAAATCTATCTACTTATCTTAATGTGTCCCGTATATGTGGAAACTGGGGAAGATGCGGTCCCTAGACTAACCTTGACCACAAAGGGGATCTTTCTTTCCAGGCTTTCAATGAGAAAAATGTGGTCTTAAAGACTGTACTGTACTACCTAATGGCAAAATGCAAGCATACCTCTTTCCTTGTGCTTTTCAACCTCTGTGGTTTTGGATCTTGATCAACACTCCTTCCAGCCATGCTTTTGTGAAATACCAGTTTACCTCTGCATTACCCAATTCTCCTCCCACTTTCTGCACCTCCTCACCCCACCGTTTATTTGCTGGCTTTGCTCATCTAGATCAGAGATTCTCAAATTTTTTGATGTGGTACAAATCTCTTCAGGTTTATTTTTTTAAGTTGAAGTTGCTGGTTCAGTAGGTCTGGGGCGGGGCCTGAGATTCTGAGTTTCTAAGTAACATCCTTACCTCAGTGCTGCTGGGCCATTGACCACGTTTTGAGTAGCAATACTCTAAAGAGGGTGTTTTCCAGATTTTGACCTTTGTTTTCTTCTTTTATCTCACAGTGATATCACTCCTAGGCTGATTATTTATGAGTCTACTTTCTAGTTCAGTCCCTTTTCCCATATTACAAAACCTTTATTTCTAATTTACTAGTGTTCATGTCTCTCTGGCTGTCTTGACAATCCTTCGAATCCTTAAAATGTTCAAATGTAGACTGATCTTAAGAAGTAGCTCCTTCTTCCTTCCTAATTGTCTCTTTTCTCTCTTACAATTATTTGCAAACTCAAAACCTCCACTATCTTTGATTTCTCTCTTCCTACCCACAATTAATCAGTTGCCAAATTCTACAGATTCTGCATGCACATCATCTCTCAACCATGCTCTTTTAAATTCCCCCGCTGTCCCTTTAGGTCAGACTCATCATTACTTTTTACCTGTCCTACAGTAGATCTGTCAGTATTTCTACCTCTAATTTCTGCTTCTCCTCACAGATAAATCAATAGCACAAAGAAAAAAAAAATCCTTTTCTTCCCCCAAATTTCTGAACCCTGAAAACTCAAAATACTGAATTAAATACAAATTCATCCATGTGGTTTCTTAGGCCCCATACTCCTTTGTCTCGCTACTTCTCAACATATCCTGGAGTCTTTGCTTTTTCCCCCAACACAGCTTTCACTGATTCACCTTCATATATATTCTCAGGCTGTCCCTCTTGCTGTAAAACCCTCCCCATCTCCTTCAAGGTCAATCCTAAATGCCTACTCCTTCATACTGCCTTTCTTTCCTTTTCCCCAAGACAGATATACCCGGTTCTTTGATTCCCTGCAGTACTCTGCCACTTTTCACATGGCATCTGTCATGGTTTGCTTTTATTGTCTGTTTTATCTTTGTTTTACTCCTTAGTCTTTGAAGGCAAAGTTATCTTCAACTTCCCTCTGTAACTTTACAGCATCTTACCTGTGGGGCGTCTAATATTAGTTGAATCAGGGGGATTTATAGAGATAATGTGATGCGCTTGTAAGCCCACAGAATTGGAAGCCAGTACAGCTGGGTGCTGGCTCTGCCGTTTATTCGCTGCGAGGCTTTGGGTAAGTCACTGAACTTCGCCTGTAAAATTAGACCACTATTACCTGATGGAGCACCAAGGGAGACAACGATAAAGCGCCCTGCAACTCTACAGGGAACTGAGCGACATTCGTTATTTTCCTTACAAAGATCTGATGCAGTCTTGCTATTGGAATCTTGACTCGCAGGACCATCCCTACGACACTGCCTGGAGGTCAAGCCCCAAGTTGCAGGGAACCCGAGCTGCCAGGTCCCACCGCCCTTTTTCACCATAGGCCCTCTAACTGCTCTCCGCGACGCAGGCGATCCTGCCGTGCTGCGGGGGAGTGGTCTGGAGTCCCATTCCCTCTGGAGGCCTCCCTCCTTCCACCCGCTCCAGGAGAGACCTCTTCCCCGTGACCCCGAGGACCGTGGCGCCGCCGCCTACGTGAGGCGTTTGGACCCTGCCCGGCCCCCGTAGCTCCCCTTCTCCAGCAGGTGGTTCTGGTCCTCTCCCCCAACTCGGGCGCTCACGTCACTGGCGAACCTCTAACCAGCGCCAGCGCCGCCACCAACCGCGAAAATAAACAAACCCCCGCGCGCGGCGGACGCGCCAGGCCCCGCCCCCGCCCCGCGGCTCTCACACCGCCCCCTCCGCCCGGGCTTCCCTCCACCCTCTGCCCGCCCGCTCGCCAGCTCGCAGCCGCGCTCTCCCCGCCCCTCACAGCAGCCTGCAGCCGCGCTCACCGCCGCGGTCCGCCCCGGGACCCGTTAGTGCCTGGCCCGCGGGCCGACCGCGACCCCTGCGTGGCGCGAGCCTGTCCGCACCCCTGCCGACACTTGACCCGGCCCAGTCCCAACGCCCAGTACGGCCGCCCAGGGAGCCGCGAGAGAGGCGGCTGCGGGGGGAGGAGGGAGAGGAGAGCCGAGCCGGCGGCCCGGGAGGCCCGGTGAGTACGCGGAGGCGGGCCCGCCTTGCGGGGGTCCGCTCTAGCGCCCCGGAGGCGTTGGCGGCGGCTCGACCGCGCTCCCCTCGGCGCCCCGGGCTCGGATGGTGGGGACTTGGCCTGAGGCGACGGGCCCCACTGGCCGGAGCCGCTGGGCAGAGGGCACGGGAGGGCCGCTCCGCGGAAAGGGCCGCGGCCCGACGCTCGGCGCAAGGCTCCGGGCGGCAAAGAGGGACCCGCACCCTTAACCCCAGGCCCAGCGCTCTGGCGGCGGCTGAGCCTCCCGAGACCCCGCTCGAGTGACAGGTGCCACCGTCCCCTCCCCGGCGCTGGCGCCCGCGCTCCCTCCCGTAGAGCCAGGCGCTCGGAAATTTCTGGAGCAACGACCTGATTCGTTGTTTTCTCCCTTTTAGGTTTTGAAGCCGCTTCTCTGCGGGAGTTAGGTCTCGCCCAGCGCAAATTCTTTCTCTATGTACTTTGCGAATAAGTTTTAGAGCATCGCTTAACAGCCTTTGGGTGAATTTGGCTTTCATTCATGAATGAGGTATAGTGAATTACTTTTTTAATATAGTGATCCTCCTCCTCCCCCGACAGCTATTATAAAGTAAATGAACAGGATCTTTTTTATTCTGTTATTGTTTGGAACAGCCTTTGCGATTTTTGTCAGATCTCTAGCATTAAGGTGCTTCATAAATATTGAATAGTAATAGCAAGAATAGTTTATTAAATTTCTGATTGCCTTTTCTCTTCATCCTCTTTTTCACTCTTTACCTTCGCCAGATTTTTTAGAATAGATGCTAATGGTTTCATTAGAACGACTAATGAAATGTCATCTGTCTTACACTAAAAAGCCAGAGACACTTTTCCTCACCATTTAGCATTGTCTCTTTGTGTAGTAAATGTGCTTGGGATTGTAACTGGAATTATTTAATAAATATGACTTGTAGCTATAAGAATATTTGAGAAGCTTTTTGGCAAGTTAAAATCTTCATAGAAATCTAGATTTATTTTCTCAACAGGTTTATAACACTATAGTGGCTTCAGCTCTGGAGTAAGAGCAAAACCCAGAAGCTGACCAAAAGAACATTGTGGGGGAAATGAAAATATGTGTACTTGACTCATGGGAGAATCCTTCAGGTCTTCAGTCAGTATTTGTTTTTGTATTTTTTGCTTAGCTTTCTCGGCCTGCAGAAAGTGGGAGCTGCAGATTGGAGAGGGGTGGCAGTACTTAACTATGAGGAAAAAAATGTAGTTTGGGGCATACCCATTGGGTTTACACCGTTTGCAGTAAGTGTGTTTTGAGCAGAGTTTTAGTATGCATCTCACACTTGCAATTAGGGTTCAAATTAGGATTGTGAACCCTAATTGTTTTTTTCCCCCAGAGACAGAGTTTTGTTCTTGTTGCCCAGGCTGGAGTGCAATGGCGCGATCTCAGCTCACAGCAACCTCTGCTTTCCAGGTTCAAGCAATTCTCCTGCCTTAGCCTTCTGAGTAGCTGGGATTATAGGCACCTGCCAGACTTCCAGCTAATTTGTTTGTTTGTTTATTTTTGTGTTTTTAGTAGAGATGGGGTTTCACCATGTTGTCCAGGCTGGTCTCAAACTCCTGACTCCAGTGATTAACCTGCTTCGCCTCCCAAAGTGCTGGGATTACAGGTGTGAGCCACCACACCCGGCCTGTGAATCCTAAGTTTTAAAAAGCCAAAGTGAAGGATACTGTTTGGTTATTTGAAGAGCAGAACATGAGATAACACAATCTTGATTTCATCAGGTGTTAAATCTGTGATAGTTGGCGCCGTTTCATATTATGCTCAGTTAATTTAGATCTAAGTTATATTTCAGTGAGGCCACACTAATTAGCATTAGCATCCATATTAATATCTTTTTTGTTCAGCCTAATTGGTTGGTAGTGTTAATGGAAGATGACTGCCATTCATCTTATAAAAAGTGATATTTGGTGGATCTTGATTTAAGAATTTTATATATATATATATGATTGTGTATGTGTTCTGAAGTGTTCCAGTTGTTGTCTTCTGGAATGAGATATGGCTGCTGCTGTCTGTCTGTCTTGACTCTAGTGAGGTCATAATGTAGAGGGATAAGATCATAATGGCAGTGTGCCTCCAGACCTCAGTAGAGGTCAACACTACCAGCTGCTTAGGAATTCTTCTGCTTGGGTTGGGTGCATGCCTATAATCCCAGCACTTTGGGAGGCTGAGGCTGGAGGATTGCTTGTGCTCAGGAGTTCGAGATCAGGCTGGGCAACAGAGACCCCACGTTACGGAAAGAGAAAAAAAAAAAGAAATTCTTCTGCTTGTAGTTTAGGTTTCATTTTTAAAAGCAGTTTACTTAAGTAACTAAGGCACCCTAATCCTTTTTAATTCTTTTAAATGAAACACTTTAAAACCAGATATGCTTCCTAGACAAAATTGGTTGTAGTGATTAGTTGGTAAAATGGTACTTAACCATAATGAAACAACTTTGAACTGCTAACAGTTGCTCATGCACATCTGCATTATGGGAATTGAGGATTATCTGTAGAGCACATTTTTCTTTTTCTGTTTGTAGAGCACATCTTTCACTGCATAGATAGCTGTGTGCTTGAAGAATATAAACATGAAGAAAACACTAAGTTCAGTAAATGTGTCTTTATGTGCCAATTCCTGTGGTATTTGTAAGGGATAGAAAGAAACACTTATCTTTCAGGATCTTGAAATCACGATCATGGGGGCTAGGCACAACAATAAAGAAAGACTTTTTTTCAATACATTCAATAGTAGCACGTTTGAAGTATGGAAGTATTACAGAGGAGGGCATGTTTGACTTCAGGAACAGGTCAGAGGATGCTTCATCGAGATTCTGGCACCTGAGCAGGATTTTGAGGAATAAGTGGAAGTTTTCAGTGGAAGAGATGGATGGCATCATAGATGAAAGAGAACAGCATAAAGATAAGAACAAGTAAACTAATTGTGTTGAGGAAATTTCAAGTTGTTTTTTTCTTGGAGTACATGCAAAGTCTGAAGAAAGAGGATTGCTATAGAAAGCCCAAACGTGCTATTACAAATAATTGGCCTTTTGGGTATGAAGTTTATGTAAAATAGAGACTTTGTTATACTTTTGACATTACTGCCATCTTTTTTTTTTTTTTTTTTTTTTTTTTTGACAAAGGGTCTTAGGCTGTCGCCCAAGCTGTAATGAGATGGCACAATCACTGCTCACTGCAGCCTTGAACTCCCAGGCACAGGTGATCCGCCCACCTCAGCCTCCCAAGTAGCTGAGACCATAGACATGCACTGCTATGCCTGCTGACTGTTGTACATTTTGTAGAGAAGGGGTTTCACCATGTTGCCCCTGGCTGATCTTGAACTCTTGGGCTCAAGTGATCTACTCACCTCAGCCTTCCAAAGTACCAGGATTACAGGCATGAAGCACCACACCTGGCCTCCTGCCATCTCAAGTATAAAGGAATTAATAGATTTTGCTAGTGGTAGTCAATAAATAATGGAAAATAATAGAAGATACATTTATATATGGTGAGTTGCCCACATATTGAGAATGTGTGTTTCACATTTTGTTCTGAAACATTTCTGTTTTTAAAATTATCTTGTGAATTTATTTTGTCTTCCTTCAGCCATACATTATCCTTGAAATTAGTTTTATCATTTATTTTTTGAGATAGGGTTTGTTATATTGTCTGGGCTGGTCCCAAACTCCTGGACGTAAGTGAACCTCCTACCTCAGCCTCCCAAGTAGCTGGAATTACAGGTGTGCACCACCAAGCCCAGATATCCTTGAAATCATTTTTAAAAGGACACTCAAAGGGAAGAGGGGGAAAATATAATCATTAGATTTCTGTACCAAAAACTTGATTTGTATAGTATTTTAATAATATGTAAATGTTTAACATACAGTATTAGCCACCATATTCAGAGACTAATGTACGTAACAATTGGCAGTCCAGTATGTTTTCATTTGCATTGTATACCTTAATTATATCATTATGTTATATAAATGTCTGAGCATAGAAGCATCTAAATTTTAAAGACCAAGTGTATTTGAAAGAGAAAGAAAAAGTATAGAGAGGGAGAGAGAAGAGCTGTGTTTAAATCTATTATCCTAACATCTCTTAGATGTGACAGTATGTGGAGATGCAGAAGTTGAGGAGAATGCAGTCTTTTCACAAGACTGAAAGAATACTAATCCTTGCCATGACCTGGAATATAGTATCTTTTAAAAGCTTAATGTTTTCATGGTCTCCCTATTTCTTTCTCATTAAGGTTAAAAAAAAAATTACAAAGGAATTCCTGGATTGCATGACATGACTATCTTATTGAAAATTCTGAAAAATTAGTTAGCAAGGGTAATGTTCTCTTAAAAGTATGCAACATATTAGTCTTTGATAGTTGCTCTCTGTCATTTGACTTCTGCATCACTAATGTGGATGGCCAAAGGCGTCTCATAGTCAATTCTGACCTGTAGTTGCCCTTTCTAAATTTTGACACAGGGCAAAAAAAAAATCAATATTGTATTGATTACATTATGCTTAACTTTTTCAACTTGAGTATAGGTAACCATTTTCTCTTTTTGAGATTTTTTTTTTTTAGAAGAAATATGATTGTTGTAGAGCCGAGCATGTTGGCTCATTCCTATAATCCCAGCACTTTGGGAGGCTGAGGTGGGGGGATTGCTTGAGTCTAGGAGCTCAAGACCAGCTTGTGCAACATGGCAAAACACTGTATCTGCAAAAAATTAGCCAGGCATGGTGGCACATGCCTGTAGTTCCTGCAACTGGGGAGGCTGAGGTGGGAGAATCACCTGAGACCAAGAAGCCAAGGCCATGATCGCACCACTGCACTCCAGCCTGTTGTGAGAGTAAGACCCTGTCTCAAAAAAAATATATATATATATGTGTGTGTGTGTGTGTGTGTGTGTGTGTGTGTGTGTATACATGTAGTCACTTTAGAACATTTGGGGAAATAGTAAAAACTATAGAAAGGAAAATAAGCATAATGAGTAATCCCATGCATTTCTTCTTTTTGGTATGTGTATAAATAATACACATATTTACAAATTGGAGATTATTTTCATATTAAGTTTTGTTCCCTTATTTCATTTAAAATTACATTTCTTTCTCTTCCACTTCCAAAATACTGGTCAGTGTACCTTTTGACATAGTAGGTAGATTTCTGTCAGGGCTCTTGAGGTAGATGACGTGTTGATTTGTTGGCTGTTTTTTTTAAGTACTGTATAGCATAGCACAGATGATAGAGCCCTTCCAGTTGCCTTATCTCCTATCCCCTTAGCTGCAGTTAAGTAGTGCTATTTTTTGTCTTTAATATTTACTGTTATATAAAGTGTAATATAATGCAAGTGGCTGCCACTGTCTTATTCTTTTTTTGCACCTTACCCTGATCAAACAAGGGATCGTTATAGGTGAGCATTTCCCTTTCTATTTTATTCTTTTGTAAGTTAAAATATGTTGACACATAGGTTGCTGATGTGACATAGCATAGGTAGCTGCTTTACCAGAAATATAATTTTGTCT